AATTCACCCTCCCCCTCACCCCTACACTTAACCCTGGACAGGACACCAGTGATGTCATGTGTGTGAAGAGTAACTTGGTGCTGAAGCCTCATTTTAACGACAGCTGAACTTGATTGTGTCTAACAGCTTCACATGCTGTTCTCAGAGCTCAGTGGGAATCAGTGAGATTGAATTATGTCAGCCACTCCGTTTGACTGTTGTGTGACAATTGCTTCGTCCCTCCGCTGGCCTCTGCGGGTGGGAACCTGATAGCGTCTGTCCAGCCTCCCGTCCAGGGAGGCGACTTCCTCCAGTAGAAATTTATGAGGTTCCTCGTGGTATTTCTGGAGCCTGATGGTCTACCATAAAGAGGGCTGGCTTTCCTGCTGAGCCAGCACTTTATAGCCTATATACTCTGTTTAATCTTTACTGTTTGAGACTTAGTTGTGTCTCCCTCCCTGTTCTTCTTCCTCGTCTTGTTCAGTAGGTGAGAATTTCTCCTGTAGCTTCACTCACTGTCAGGGAACAATACAGGGAGGGCTGCTCAAGAGGTGGGGGGTCCGGGCGTTCTGGAGAGGCTTTTTAAGCACGAAGGACTAATTTTTTTGTTTTTAAAGATGTTGCTGCAGATGTGACCTCTGACCTCTGATGCTGTGTTTAGAGAGAGAGAGAAGGAGCAGTTAGCTGGAGCTGACACTTACGATGGTTATTCAGACAGGGGATGATACTGGACATGCAGACGGGTTAAAATGTGGATTTTGGTGTTGCAGAGCTTTTATTGATGTTTGCTTTGCAGCTTGCACGCTGCTGAGGAAACTGTCAAGACTTGAGGCTTGGACAATGTTTGAAGATGCGTTTGTTTTACCACTTAAGCTTAAATCTGCACACAGATTTGGTTGGAGTTTTTGGATATTATAGACCTGCCATTCCTCAAATCATTTAGAGATCACATCAAATCAGGATAGATCATATAGATCCTACCATCATGAAAAAAAATGGAGAAAATGGTTTTATTTAGAGGTGAAGAAGAGTCGTTTCCTGCACGTTCTGCTGACCAAGTTTAAGGAATGTGTCGTGTTTTTCTATAATCAGTCCTAAATGACTTGAGTCTTTCTAATGCATCTTTGAGCTAAATTAGTGACTCTTAGCTCGCAGGACTCAGTTTGTGTCTTTTAGGTTGTGCTGTGAAAGTGAGGATTTGTATTTTGATGATGGATGCAGACTCATTCTCCAGACGGTGACCTGGGCACACACTTTGGTGCCTGGCATGGCTGCAGGATGCTGATATCTGTTAGCTGCTCTCACTGTGCACTCGCTGCCACACTCGGTTCATCTGCCGGTGACATTTAGTGCTCAGATCGTTGGAACTTAAATTCCAGGCAGAAATGTCTTCAGAGGGGACAACTGTCGAGCGCTCCTGGACGCCTGACCCCTCCTGTCCAAAATTAGCTGGTTT